TCGGCGAAGCCCGGATGTGTGTCAAAACCCCCAGAACGTAACCAGTAGCATATAGCTCTGCCGCATACGCACCGCCATCACCTTCCGGATAAGCAGATGATATCTAAGCTTGCGGTATACATCTACCTAGCGTACCGACAACAGTATACAAAATACACCTCCTTCTTCTCTACCATCACATAGATTCCTCGCGTACGCACAACTATTTAAACCCCGTGTTCATCACAATATCACATAATCACACTCTCATATATAACGATCATAGCACTTCACCTGGGATCAGCTTTACCCAGAAAACCAACATACAACACACGACATTTCATCCCTCCAATTGAACAAGTTTAACAAGTATCATTTACAATCTAGCGCATCCGTGATGATGACCATCACAATGTCACACACGACTACATGACAATACCGGTCACCAACCCGGTACAACCGGTACAATGGCACAGCCCCTGAACCCGTGTCTCCTCACAAGGAGACTAGACCACTATCGCGCTGACATACATGTACATCGCTGTACAAGCGATCTTGTCACCAAAGTTACGTCTGTGTCTAACGAAAAACCCCAAATAGGTTTGCAGCCTGCATCAACATGAAAACACGCAAAGTACTAGATCCGACGTCAACGTAGGCTCCAGGGTCCCTAGTACAGTGTTTCTCTTTAACAAGGTGCTTTGACTAATATCCTATGCCATCTCCGCTCATCACTTATTGTTTATCGACAAGGCACATGCACATTCACCCGACAAACAGCGCAGACATATACCCGATTCTCCATCCAATCTACCTACCGGCTAATGTCTATCAAGCTATTATCACAAATAACAACATGTTCCAGAACCGCGTTGCCAAAGTATAGCAAGGGGGCTACATACTAGTAACAACTTAGCAAAATATCTTGATAGCTATTCGTGGCGGCTACTATACCCTTGCAACACGCATCTACACTGTGACATGTAGAGCCTTTAGAACTACACTTCACGAGTTCCGTATCAAAAATGACAGAGGAATGAAGAACGATGTACCACTCAACAATCCGTATCATCACTATTGCTTCATATGATGTTGTACAAAGAGATACGCAGCGACGCCCAACTCAACCTAACCCAACACAAGTCCCCCTTTTTCTCTTTCAAACGAACACAATGAGTAAACAACGCGTTCTCAAACCCTGAGTTCCATCTGCTCAGCCCCAAAACTAGAATTAACAACACTACCAGCGCCGTGATGGTGGTGGAGATGGTGTTGTCTTTCCTTGACGAGGGCGTTGTACTGTAAATGCACACGTTAGCAATGCCATCTCAAATCATCTATCCTCCCATCACATCCACTCTGGACGTCAAGCTCGGCTCATCGGGAAAGAATGCACATACCTTAAACCCAAAATTCAAGCACAACGCCACCGCCAGTCCCACACAAACAACCAACGGCCCCGTAACCGCATCAAAGTCCTTCCCACTCCTCTCCCTAATAAGCCTCGCGCGGTAAATATACATCGCATACCCCCACGCAAGCGTAAAAGCCGCAATGCACGTATACACGACCGCAAGCGCGCGAGCAATATCATTGGCCTCACCAGCCGCATTATACAACCCAAGACTCAACGAGGCGAGCAAGACACTAACATGCTGCCACTTGATAAACGTACGTTGGTTCGCGAGCCAGACTTTGGCTTCTACACGCACGGGCCCTTGGTCTTTGATCCAGACGCCTGGGTCGCGGATGCCGGGCGGGAGCTGGATGGCGCGTTGTTGTTTGCGCGCGTATTTTGAGGTGGAGAAGGAGGGGAAGAGGGAGGCGAGACCGCCGCTCTTGGGCTGCTTTCCGTTTCCGCCAGCGAGGAGGAGTGTGTTTTCGTCGTCGGAATCGGGTTCTTCGTTTATGCGGGAGTTGGTAGTTGTGTCTGTTGTGTCGCGGTGCGAGCGCTGGGAGAGGTGCGATCCGATTGTGGGGAAAGGGGGTTTGGTGACGGGCATGGAGTGGGCGGCAGCGGAAGCGCTCTTGGGGACAGACGACCGCGTTGCGGCTGGTGAGCCGACGGGCGAGGCGATGGAGGCGCGGTAGCTGGGGCTTGCGCGGGCGCCGAAGAGGGAACCGACTGCGAATTCGTCTTCGGCTGCTTTGCGCTTCTTTTCTTGTTCCTGGTCGAAGGCGGCTTCGGGTTCTTTGCGGATGTCGTTGTCGACTTCACTGAGCCAGAAGGGGAAGGTGTTGACGTTGTCTTCGAAGAGCTTGGCTACGCCGTGGACGAACTTGGAGAAGCGGGGGGATTCTTTGACCAGGTGCGAGTGCATGAGGTCTTCGATCCATTCGTACTTCTTCAGGCCCTTGACCTTGATCTCGAGGAGGGCGTAGGGGAACTTGTGGAGCTCGCCCTTCTTGAGGGCCTTGAAGGGGAACTCCATTTGCCCGTTGTCGATGTCGCGCCTGTGCCAGTCTTCGGGGTCGCGGCAGGGTCTGTCGTCGTCCAGGGCGTCTTCGCGGATCAGGGCGAGGTTGGTGTCTAGGGAGATGCGCACGCGGTTGTCGCCGGGGATCTGGAACGCGGTGCGGGTGTAGTTGGCGCGCAGCATGGGCTGTAGCTTTTGCTCCTTGACGAAGCCCTGGATGTCTGTTACAGCCTTCTTGAAGTTGTCCACCTCCTCCTGGTTCTTGTTGGGGCGGTATTCCATCTTCTCGATGCTCTTCTCCATGTGGTACTTGTCCTCGAGGAAAGACTGTACGTATTTGGCCTTGATCGGGAAGCGAACTTCTTCGGCAGCGTTGCCGTCCTTGATGACCTTCTTCTCGAACATGATCTCGGGCTTCTCACCGAGCTGTCCGTACCACCGGAGTCGCAGCGAAGAGGCATCGGGCTTGCCATTGACCTTGTCCGAGTAGAGGGAGAAGTTGGGGTTGTCGAAGTAAATGGACGTGATGGTAGGGTCGCGCTGGGTACCCTCAGCGACCTTGGACGACATGGGATTGTAGACGAGGACGGGGAGACGGCGGAGGATGACGGTCTTGACTTCGAAGAGGTTGTCCATGTGGACCCAGACTGTGTGTGTTAGCTGATATTCTGCCAATGATGTATGGTGTGCCTACACTTGTGAGAAGTGAAGCCCTCGCCATCCGTGCTGGTCTCGCCAAAGGACAAGGCCTCCTTGGACTTGCCCTCGAGGCTCTGTCGGACGAACGAGTACAGCGCCGACAGCCTGTACAGCAGCGGCGAGGCATCCTCGGTGTGCAGCGGGTGGCGGGCAATGCGCGCATCGATAAAGGGCCGCAGGCGGTAGGAGCTGCCGCGGATCTTGTCGTGCTTCTTGGTGGCCTTGATGACGGCGGTGAAGTTGATGCGGCTGAAGCTCTCGAGCTCCTTGGTCTCCTTGGTGATGTTGTCGAGCTCGCGCAGGACTTCCTTGAGGATCTTGTCCCTCTCCTGCTGGCTGGGCTCGGGTTTCTTGGACGCTTCGCCTGACGCGTCGCCGAACAAGCCCTCACCGCTGCTCTCCTTCTTCTCCCTGTCGTCCTTGGCCTCTTCCTTGCCCTCCGCCTGGATCCCTATGGCCAATGGCTCCAGCTTCTTCTCGCATGCCGTCGTGCGGTCGCGCAGCTTCTGCGAAATGTCGGTGATGAAGTTGTGCACCTTCTCCAACTGCACATTGGCCAGCTCGTCAACAAACGCGCTCTCGTCGTCGGCCGTCCAGGAATCGTCATCCTCGTTATCCTTGAGCAGCTTCTTGAGCTTGTCGTAGTCGATGTACTTGTCCTTCCACGGCGCATACACGCTCTTGCGCAGTGTCGTGCCGAACTTCATGGCTTAGCGAACGAGTGTAGTTGATTGCGAGAAAGTGAAAGCTCCAGCAGTCGCGACGCGCAGTAGCAATAGTCAGGATATAAGAATTGCCGGCGCCGGAAAGCTCTGCATGGAGGAGTGGGAATGAAGCAATGCAGCTGGGGTTAGCTGGTGGGGAGCTGCGCGCAGCCAATGCCCAGGAACTTTGGGCGCACGTGTTTCGCGTCCCGCGAGCGTCATAGCTGCACTCCGCTTTCATCCCAGCTCTCTTCACACCAAGGATTGGCGTCATATTCACTGAAATACACTACAGTACTACACTTCAATTCATGCGACTCAACACAGCTTCACTACAATCCGCAGGAATGCATAGAGATACTCTTCGTCAACAGTCTCACAACAACATCTGCCGCCGCGAGTCATTCCCGCTAGGAAGACCCACGCATCTTCACGTCCCGACATTAGTGTCCGAGGCCCAAGTCTGGCCCTGCCTCCTCAACCCCCAGAGCTCGGTGATTCTTGCGGCGCAGCTGTTGACATGTTGCCCTGGTATACCTGAGTTGTTGATATTTGTCTTTATAGGTCGTGTTGTTGGGGTGCTCGAACTTTCGGTTCCTCTGCGCATCCGTGGCACATTATACAAGGAGAAAACTAAACGGGTCTAGAGCCTACATCAACGTTAGGTCACCTACTTTGCATATCGCTGTCTTGATGTAGGCTCCACGGTGTTCAGGATTTCCTTGAATGATGTGGAGCCGGATGACAGCCTATGACCTCTAGGATTGGTGCTGGGTTTGGTGTTCTCAGTGATCCCGCGAGCTCCACCACCCTATAACTCAACTCAGAACCCATACTACGACAGATCTCGCGATACTGTAGAATGTACAAGTTAAGAGCTTTAGATCACATCAGCTTAGCTATGATAGTCCACTTGCTAAATGCCACGTTCTCAGACCGCAGATAGGAACCTAGGTGATCTCAAACCGCCGGCAGGCTACTTCAGAATCTGAGATTAGTCTCAGTTGATACTCAACATCAACTCCTATCGAAAACATCGTTATCGCGTTCCAACTAATCTTGATTTTCTTGACCTCGGCTAATTGACGCCGCGCACAACGTCGTCGCGTTCTTCGGTCGTTCGTTCTCCAGCACACCGCTCCCATCCTCCTCATCTCATCGCATCGTCCACGGAAGCTGTTTCGCCCTGTCATCGCCCGCCATGGATCTTCCGGCCTACCACGAGCGAATGAAGAGAAAACGTGAGTCCAAGCCCGGCGTCCTGCCTCTGCGCTACTAATTTCCGCATTAGTCGATAAGTACCTGGCTTCCGAAGCAGACCTCGACGAGCGGTTCCCCGACTCCATGCGACGCCGTTTCCCTGGAAAGATCAGCGAAACCCATTCCAAGCCAGTGCACTGTAACCGGCCACCCCATTTCGCCCACGGATGCATTCGCTGTGGTCGACAGCCCACCGTCCTTTGCCCCAGCTGCAAAGTGATAAAGTGGTGTAGCCCCGATCATGACAACGACAACTGGCCCAATCACGTAATAGCCTGCGCGTCAATCAAGAAAGCTATGGAAGATGTGGAAAAGGAAGATCAAGCAATTCGCGCCCATGACGGAGACGCCAACACCCCACGCAACGCCTTCCACAGTGACACAGCCAAGGGGAGATTCTGGAAATACAAGGGACTAAGACCGTATCTGAAAGCACGCTTGGAGCTTGTGAACGCGATACGTGAAGTAGATACCCTGATTGCCGTGGAAACGGCACTAGAGCACGCCACAGATATCCTGAGACTTGATCCCAGAGACGCCCTCTGCGTCCGCAGCATTATACCGATACTACTCCTGCGTCTCGACCTCGACGAGCGCTGCTACTGCTTTTGTAAATGGTGGCTTACCAAAGGCAATGATACGCATCATGACTGGACAGATGACGGACCGCTTTTGGCGCTTGAGCGACCGGTTGATCTGTTCAAGACGGAAGATGCGTTTGAGCATCCCGTGGATTACTTCGACCAGACCAGAACGTTCACCGACAGAGATGAAGACCGGACTAGGTTGCAAAGTCCAGCTGACTTATCGCTTCTTGTTGCCATCATGCTGGTCAAGATACGCATCAAGGTAGATCTGCTGTTGTTACGGAACGATCCCCAGCCGGAAACCTATCTGCAGCGACATGTTAGCAGCGTTGTAGCTGCGCGATATCGAAGAGGCACGCCGGAAGGGTATTACATGAGAGAGGAAATGGAACTGTTTGAGTTAACCTGGGACCACGTTTTCTACCTGTCTGATGAGATACGCAGAGTCAACAAACACTTTTGGCCGGGGTTGATGTGCCCTTATCCGCCACAACAACGGGGTTTCAAGCGACCTCCGTTTGTAGCGGGTACTGAGGCAGACGCGAAGATCGTGTTGAAGGACTGCTACGCTGTTTGGCATGAGACACCGGGGGCTATGGATCTCGTCAAGCACTTATGCGATGGACGCTTGTAGATCGAAACATTGTACGGCACCACTAGGGGTAACTTCAACGCGTGGCGCATACATGCTATTGGATCCTCACAACTAAACAATCTTTGAGGCGATGTATACGTCTAGCTTAATAATGGAATCGGAGGATACGACACGAATTCTAGCCACCTCTAGTGACATCCTTCATACAGGTACTTTCCTTGCACCGGCTACTTCTTGAAAAGCCCCCTTCCAGTCGAACGTGAAAAGGAAATCTCGCGACCCTCCAATATATCCTCGATAACCTCAATCGCGCCCGGTGTCTCACTCCATGCACAGTAGTATTCCGGCAAGACCTTGTGCATCTCCGTCTCGTCGCCCATACCGATATTAAGGGGGTTCATCAGTAGATGGGCCCGGGGCTCTACCACTCGAGGCCAGAAGTGCTTGTTGACTCTGTCCACAGCGTGGTACAATCGTCGGACCTGGTCCTTTACTCTTTCGAGTATAATCTCAGGCTGGCCAATGTCTCCCTCTCCCGTGTCGCGCAACACAATGCTGCTGCTGCTCACGGCGCCGAAGTCCTGTGGCCGAATACCATCGATAAGCACCCGGACATCGAGGAGCATGCGTACCTTGACCAGCGTAACCGCAACAAGATGCGACAAATCGGAGAAACTGGGTACGGCGAAGCTATCCCCACTCCCATCCCCAAAGTTCCTAACGCGTTCAAACACTTCCACACCCTCCCACGCATCCCCACCACTGCCCATCTCATGCGGCAGCTGTCTAACGTTCTTCCAGTCACAACCCAAACTGGTCCCCTTAATAACCCACCACTTGCAGAAATCATAGGCCTCCTGATCCCGTCCCAGACGCAAGAAAAACGCGGGCGTGATACTCCTCACACACATCGGATCCTGCAGATTCAACCGCATCAGCCCAAGTGCATGTTCCAGCGCAGCTTCCACCGCCGCTTTGGTATTCAACCTAGGCAGTTCTCTTAAGAGCTCGTTGCGGGATCTCATGTAATTCCTCGTTCCGCTGTAACGCCAGAAGTCGCCGACGGCTGTTTCGAAGGCGTTGGGTGGTGTATCCATATCTCCTTTGTGGGCTCTGAGGGCGGCTTCGTCTTTATCGAGGACGAATGTGATCTTTTTGATGGATTTGCACCACACCTTGTGTGCGGGGCGGTCGGCGCGTTGGTGTTCAGGGCTGCAGTAGTGGACTACTTTGCAGGCACTGCAGCGGCTGAGACCGGTTTGTTGGTGGCAGATGTTGCAGCCTGTGATGAGGTTTTCGGATACGTCGAACGGCATTATCATGCCGTAGTTGTTTGGATTGAATCCGGGTTGGGGCGGCTGAGCATCGGTGTCGGGGGCAGGGCGCTCGCCTGCTGTACGATCGGTGTTGCGGGCGGCGTTGTATTCTTCCATTGCTGCTCGGTCTTGGAGACGAGGATGTCAGTATCGGAGGTGTGGCACGGGGAGGTGGGGCTTACCTTCTTTCTCGCTCTGCTGGATTAGCTCCAAAAGACTCTTCTTGCCCGACTGCTGGCGCTGCTGATCACGTTCAGCGGACATTTTGTGATGACGACGAGATGCGGCGCGTTGAGCTTGTGATGGGTTGGGCTGAGATGAGGTGAAATGAGATGAAAGACGGTGAGCGCGAAGTCGGGCTTTTTTTAAAGGTCAGCCGAACAAAACCACACTTGCACGCGAAGCGAGGGTCAGTTGAACGTCAAGCGAAGGTCAGCTAAACATCGCTCGGAGGTATTTTCGAGGTCAGCCGAGCTAAGTGCGGAGGTCAGCCGAGCTCAGATCGAGGGTCAGGTCAACGTATCAGACCAAGTGTCGCGGACAGCCGAGCTTGACGAACTTCATTTGCGACGCGAGGGACAGCCGAGGTCGCCCGATAACATGAGATTGCTATTCGAATGCTTTTAGAAAGCTATTTGAATGTCTACAGGTTGGATACGTGGTGTTGACATGATACAATGCCATGGGTTCACTGCCTCGTGGATTGTCTGTTGGGCATGGGGTACAAGAAGTTTTGGGTTAGCGCGGGTAAAGACTGAGTAAAGACTCAGTAAAGTCTCAGTAAAGTCTCAGTAAAGACTCAGTAAAGACTCGGTATTTACCGGCTTTACACCAACTTCATATTGATTGCTGTTTTTGGATGGGAGTCGATGGGGCAGATTCTGATAATGATGTCGTGGAGGATGAAGGCTTCAGGCGTCTCTGCAGCCTACTTCAGATCAAGTCTTGGCAAGGTTGAGTATAAGGTTGACCATAAGGTTGACCATAAGGTTGAGGATAAGAGCCAGGCGGATAGCATAGCGAGCACGAACACTGCTGCTTTATGTATATATGCGAGACTACATTCGAGACCCAATCCATGGAGCTGGAAGTTTGATGTTCAGCGAACAATTTGGATTGGTTCTGGATCGATTCCAACGTATTCCCAATATGTTGGCAACATGTTACGGTGCACCGTGCGCCGTGGTGTTGTGTGATTTGGCGCCGAAGCACCACGAACATCAAATCTTAGCCCTAGACCACTACTAACTAATTAGCTATACAATATATGTACGTTATTTTTAGCTTGTAAGAGTCAAGTCGGGGCGATGTAGTCTCCATGCCATGTCTTGGTCTCTGCTACCATCCGTGTTGGTGTATAGTCTTGGTTTTTGGGCGCGTTCGCGGAATGAGCTTTTGTCACCCTGAAGTCGACGATAATTGAGAGGGAGAATCGATGTATTGACATATTGCGAAGTAGATATACCAGAAGAAATGCCTCCGAACAGACAGGACCTATCCACAGATGATGATGGAATAGTTGAAGCGACGTCGTGCCACCGGGAATGCTATATATACATGGTGTATAACGTATGGAAACGGCGATAAAAAAGAATGAGCGATGTATGCTGCAGGCGTAGGGCCGCATGTGATCCATCGTTATAATGATGTCGTGTTGTGGAAGTAAATGTAGTGAGCAGCAAGGTAGATCGACTGTCTCGTCTGAACCGCGCTTCCGAGCGTTCACAACCCCATTCGTTTCCTGTGCTGGAAAGAGAAACCGTCAGATAATGTCGTACGGGAACAATAGGCTTTTCAGTTGCCAAATAGGACGTGTACCGCATCCACGAGTGCTGCGGTAGTGTAGTCGTTGACAGTGACAAGTGCTGGAAAGTCGTATGCCGCGTTGACATAGGACTGGCCCATAGCGCCATCATCGATGAGGATTAGGATCGTCGGAAGTCCTGGTATGGTATCGCTTTTCGGTATCTTTTTCGAGATGCTTCGTGCGAACTTTAATTGCCGTTCAAAAGCCTGCGCATGATTGCTGATGACGTTCGAGGTGGCGCATATGACGACGATGACAGCTCCACTGGTGGGTAGGAAATCGGCGTGCATATCTGTCATGCCAGAGTCGAGACGGTATGGGACGTGTCGTACTTGTCTTGGTAGAGCGCGACCGAGAGGCTCGAAAGGGTCCATGTCTTTCGCCAGAGTCGTGGACGGCGGATGGGGTACGAATGGGGTGAAGAGGGTAATTATCTCTGCTTCGTTCAAGCGCCGCAGTCGTTCAAGAGTCTGTGTTGGACATCGTACAATCTTGGCGGTCCCGGAAGATGGATTTTGCGTCGCGGTCGACCTGCTAGATGCTGAAGTCATCTTGGGTCGATGTGTGTTGCTCTTTGAGGACGGTTGGCTCTTTCGTTCACCCATCACTACGCAGCTGCGGATGTTACTATGGTGACGGTAGAAAAGCACCAAAAGGTCTTAGGTGAGCCAGTCGGGAGGAAGATTTGAGATTGCTTTGGGCATTGTTTGCAAAAGCGAGGCTTTTATATTTCGATCGCCAAAACTCAAGTTCCTATAGCGAATCGACTCTTGCTTTTGCGGGGAAGAGACACCGTCAGAACACTGTGCCGGTTGACGTTGCAAGCCGAAGCCAGCCGGCAACGGGCGTAAGATGTTATGCTGAATGGCAAGGTAGACGGTCCCGGCTATGGGACTCAGGAGTACAAAAAGCAGCTATGCAAGGTTGGCCGTGGCCACCCCAGGAATCGTCAAATGAGGTGCTGATGTCGAGTGCTTGTGGATCGCCGAGTGGACCGTGACCTTGTTAATAGTAGCTGAAGCTTCTCCCGCCCTGTTCAATTAGAATTAAGCTTCTGAAGATGTATGTCAATACGATAGATAGTAATACTTGGGGTGGTACCAGATAAAGAACGAAGAAAGTAGTACATGGCCGCGGCCAGGCACTCTCCGGTGCAGATAAAGAAGTGCTTCCACCACCGTAGTGGGCGGAGATCTTACCGATTGGATGACGTTTTCCCGTTCGTAGCCATGACTGACACGACAGAAGCGTTGCCGTAGCGTGCTCGCGCATGTCAGTAAGGAGCACGACGGGCGTATAAGTGCACGGCGACGGTTGCATCGGGTAGCAGCAGGATCGTGTATCGAGAATAGATAACGCCACATCCAGTCGCAGATCCAAGGCTCCACATTGATCACCTTGTAGGCCTTGGGATGCGCGTGTCAGCCTACTGTAGATGAAGGGCAGTCCTAGAGGCCGGTCGGCCGTCCTGATAGAGAATGATGAGCCAAGGAAAGCCGACCACTCATTCCAAAGCAAGGACCAACAGCCAGGTTGATAATGAAGGTCGATACCCGACGCGTGCTTGTCATCGCAGGCAAGGCGTACAACGCGCGGGGGTCAGTACAATTCGAGTCAAGGTTGCAGGAGGCGTGCTTGAGTTGATGGCTGACCCGCAAGGCTACCACCCATGGCGGGCCAGTAGCAGTTGCGCAAGCCGCAATCATTACATTTCGATGCTTGCTGTGTAACACAAAGGGTTGACCTCGATGTGGCGATGGCGAGAGCTGCGATGCATGCTCCAGTGATGACACGGCCATGCGGGTGACATCTGCACGATTGATTGAATCAAGCACGAGTAGCGTGAACGAGCCGCGGATGGCCAGACCGGCAGCCGCGATGCTGTGTGCCCACACATGAGCATTGGCGATGATGTC